GCCTCTCGGAGCGGCTGAAACCGATGCCCGCCTCATGGGGCTGCAATGGGAGCCAGGGGCGAAAGAGCGACACACACGGCACCTGACACGAAGTCGCCCGGAAGCAGGCGTGATCGGATAATGCCCAGAAGGTTCACACTTTTAAAATGTGTGACAGAGGCCGGATATGGTGTTGCAAGCCTGTAATCCCAGCAATCAGGAGGCTGAGGCAGGAGGATCCCCGGAGTTCAAGCCCCCCCCCCCAAGCGCATCATCCCATCACCCTGACCGCTTCCTGCAGCAGCTCTGGCGTCCTCTTTCCTGTGTGTCTTCAGTGTGCTGTCCTGGCTGCCTGACATCCTGACATTGACCTTTTCTGTCATTGTGACCTTGGGGAAGAGCTGGAGGTCACACAGTGCCAGAGCCAGTGAATGAGCTGCCGAGGACACACTGTAATGTCTGACAGAAACTGCCAGGAACATTGAGTCAATGGGGGGTGATCAAAAAATATGTCTAGTGTTTAGATTTTTAAATCCATTACAGTAAAATACACATTGCCGTGCATCTCCTCGAGTATCCATCAGTCACGGTTCCTTCAAACACACTTGTCCCATCTCAGGCCATGCGGCCTTCGTGACAGTGGTTTTCTTCAAATGAAAGCATTTGAGAGTTTGGGGGGCACCCTTGTGCCATGAGGAGCAGCTCACCCCGTGTTTCCTGCTTGCTGAGCCATTCTGCCTGTTGATTCATGTCACCCTGCAGCAATGCCAGGCAGGTGGTATCACCAGCAGACAGGGAAACTGAGGCACAGAGAGTTGAACTGGGGACTCCCGAGGCCACAGCAAAGGTGCCTTGGCCCTTGTCACCTCCGTGTTGTTGTCCCTCCCTACAGTGGTGCGTTCCTGGGAGAGGTGCTCAGAGCTCTCAGCATCTCTAACACTCTCAGGGCTGTCAAAGGCCCAGGACCCCCAGGTTTCCAGAGACAGCCCCATTTCCTAGTTCTCCCCTGAGACTTGCAGCTTCCTCAGGAAAGCATCCAGAAGAAAAACATCCTTTCCTCGCTAAAGCAGAATGCCAGGCCTGTGGGGCCAGGAGCTCCTCCCACCCTGGGGCCTGGGCCCTGGGCCCCAGTCTGGACCAGGCTTCCCCTCAGACCACACCTTCCCGCTGTTTCCTGGGCAGAGCTACAAACTCAGAGCTGAAGGGAGGATGCACTTCCCCACCTGAGCCCAGAGAGCTGGCCTCTCTGTAGCCCCTGGCCACGCCTGGAAGCCCTGCACGCTCACAGGGGAAACTGTGCTCACAGAGGTGTCTGGGGGATCAGAGCTCCCTGAACAGCACCCTGGCCACTCATGAGGTCTCCCGACCCTGGGGGCTAATCCGAGCTGGTGAGCAGTGCAGCCCTCAGAGCACCGCCTGCCCAGGGTTCTCTGCACTTTAAGTTAAGACACAGCTGCTCTGCACTGTGGAGCCCAGGCAGGAGACAGCACCAGGGCCCAGCACAGCCCCCTCTTAGAGCCACCTTGCAAAATAAACCTGCCTAAACTTGGGCTTTGCACTTGAAGACCTGGGCTTGCTTGTTAATTCTGATGGGAAAAATATAGCCAGATGACAAAGAGGGATGACCGCCTAGGAGCAGAAACTCTGTCCCCTGTGGGGGCTGAACCCAGAGGCCTTGTACCCCAGATCCCCAGAATCGCATAGTGAGGAATAGCATTAAATAAATGTCCTGCAAGACCCCTGTGCCTTGTCCTCCACAGATGTCAGCATCAAAACAGCAGTCATGAAGCTGAGAAGCCATCACAGATTGAAAAACAGACATCTGGGCATCATGGCGCATGTCTATAGTCCCAGCACTCAGGAGGCTGAGGCAGGAGGATCCCTGTGAGTTCAAGACCAGCCTGGGAAAAAAAAACACCAGCCTGGGCTACAGAGTGAGACTTGGACTAAGAAAAAAACAGACCCCAAGACAGCTAAATGCCAGGCAGAATCATGGACAGCTGAAGCCTCACTGGGAGACAGGGAAAAAAAATCAAGGAAATTATTGGGGCAATTGAGGGATTTAAATATGGGCTCCATATCAGAAAATACAAGGTTTTCTGAATGTAGTTATAATGTTGGAGTCATACAGTACCAACAGTGAAGTTGGGACATCTATGCGGGGATGGAGGGAAATGTCAGCTTCGGAAACCAGGGCAGGAGGCAGTGTGCAGACTCAGTCTTGCCACTTCTCTGAAGATTTCAACCTCACATGAATACACCTTCAAAAGGGGACAGAAGCTGGGCACGGTGGTGCCCATCTGTAATGCCAACACTGCAGAGGCTGAGGCAGGAGGATTGCCATGATTTCCAGGCCAGCTTGGGCTACACAGTGAGACCCTTTCTCAAAAAACCAGAAAAGGGGCTGGGGATTTAGCCCAGCAGCACAGCGCCTCCCTGGCAGGTGTGAGGTCCTGAGTTCGATCCCCGGTACCAAAAAAAGAAAACAAAATAGAACAGAAAAAGGAGGGGGAGAGAAACTTGTTACCTTCCTACTAGTCCCAGAAGAACTTTCCCAGGGTCTGGCAACCTGGAGAATGGGTGGAGCCTGGTAGGGGACAGGGGTATTTGGTGGGCGTGGCCTTTTGTTGCAGACTGGAGCCAGCACTTTCACGAATGTCGCCTTTGCTCACAACTTGTCAGACGGCTCCCAGGCACCAAGACAATCTCGGCTGCACCTGCTCATCCCCAGAACAGCTCGGCTCCTGAGGGAGTTGTGCAGGACTGCAGGGGCCCGGCCCAGAGAGGATGTCTCTCCTGTTATAGGCAAGGGCCCGAAGGCTCACGCGCAGACCTCTCAGGGACTCCGAGACTGGTGCTTTATTTATTTATTTATTTTTGGTACCGGGGATCAAACTCGGGTCCTTGCGCTTTCGCAGCAGGCGGCGAAACCACTGAGCCAAATCCCCAGCCCTTTTTTTTTTTTTTCACCTCTTGCTAAGTTGCCCAAGCAGCCTGAAACTCTGGATCCTCCTACCTCAGCCTCCAGAGTAGCTGGAATCACAGGTGGCTGCCCAGCATGTCTGCGCTCTCTGCCCCTGCACCTCCAGGACCCCTCCTGCCCCCCATTCTGTGTCCCCAGGAGTGGACACCTGCACCCTGGGCCCTGCCTTCCTCTTGCGCCCCCTCCGGGCCTCGGGGTGCAGCCAGGGTCTAGCAGCCTGGGCCCCCTGCCTCTACCTGGCTCCCTGCTCTGTTAAGTCTTAGGCTGACATATTCAGGTGGAACCTGGGGTGCAGGGACCCCGACAGACATGGAAATGCACCTGGGTTCACAGACACTGTACATGCCACTCCCCAGGGGTCACCATGACCACGCCCGACCACGTGGCAGTTGTGCTGCCTGGAGCAAGGGGGACCTCTGGGGGATGTGGATGCCGCTGGCTCCCATGAAGGCAAGAACTGGGGTCTCAGAAGGGAAGAGCCCAGGCCCCATAGGACCTTGGGGTGACGTGGAGCATCCTTGCCAGGGTGCAAAGTAGGGACACTGCAGAGACAGCAGGGCCACTCGAGGGGACAACAGTGAGGGCTTCTGAGCTCCTGCCCCAGCCCCCCAGCCCCACCTGCCCCAGACAGTGACATCCTGCCTCGCCGTCCCTGCCTGGGAATTTGGTGCCCAGCACCAGCTTCACTGACCCTGCAGGACAAATCTTACAGGGGTCAGAGGCTTCCGAGCTTCTCGTTGGTCACTGCCCTGGTCTGTGGAGATCAGCAGAAGACAAATCTGAGACCCCTGGGCCAGAGAATCTCACCCCGGGGCCCCAACAGCCCACCCAGCCCTCCCAGAGCCTGAAAAGAACAGACATCTCTGCAGGCACCCCGGGGACCTGCCCAGCACGGATGGGCACCACCCTGGCTGTGTCCTGGTGACCACTGGCACAGCCCTGGAGAGATCAGGGCTGCACACACCTGTGGGCCCTGCTGTGGGGACCTCGAAGCAGCTGCAGGGGGAGCACTTGGGAGTGTGCCCCACTCCACAGGGTCCTGGGCAGCCCGGGAAGAGGGTCCCACCCAGCTCCTGAGGACCCTTTGCTCCACAGAAACGTGGCACTGCACACCTAGGTCTGAAGCACTGGCCCAACACCATGGGTAGAGAATTCCACACCAGGACACTTTGTTTATTACGCAGAATTATGTGAAATTATCTCCAGGCTGTGTGAGTCCATGAAGCATAATGGAGCCTCATGTTTAAACATGGGTCCCTTTCGCCGTCTCTCATGGTATACGTGCAGATGTCCCAAATCTGAATCAACCTGACCTCAAACACTTCCAGGTACAAGCATTTCCGGCAACGCCTGCATTGCTTGGCACCTGCAGGGACCTTCGGCCCCGTGATGCCCTCGTCTCTGGTTGAGAAAACTGAGGCTGGGAGAAGAGAGCCATCTTGTCCAGTTCTCCAAGTTGGTGGAGACAGGTAAGCTCCTGCCTGACCCCTTTGCAAAGCCCAGAGCCACGCTGGACCCCCACACCCAAGACACTGGGCTCTGCAGGCCGGGAGTCATGTCTGAGATCTGGAAGGGACAGGCGAAGCCCACCCGGGGCCCGAAGGCTCCCCTCACACCAGACCAGTTCAGACCCGGAAGTCGAGAGAGGCTCAGGGAAGAGGCTTCCACCATGGTCGGCTCAGACACAGCATCGGGGACCAGAACAAGGCCCAGCCCTTGATCACATCCACACTTCAGAGAGGGTGCCAGGCAGGTGGCACCACAGGCCCTGAGCAGGTGCAGCCAGGCCAAGAGGAGGCTGTGGCACTTTGCTAGCCCAGTCCTTGGCCCCCTGGGGAACCATGTCTGAGTGCGGAGTTTGTGTCTCAGGGTGCAGGGCAGTGGGTCCTGGGAGTCCCTTCCCCAGGTGCTGAGGATGCACCCGCCAAGCAAGTGGTCCCATCTCTGCCAGGCATGGCAACTGGCATGGGGCAGGGGCTCCTCCACACCAGCTCAGCAACAGGTGGCTCCTCAAACACAGAAGGCCGAGGCATGAACGTCAGGGTTAATACACAGCTTTATTTACCTTGTACAGCATCCACTTCCTTACATTCTCAAACAATTTTGCCATTAAAGTGCCAGAAATTTTCTCAGTCATGGTAACATTTGTTAAAAGAAATCAGAACTATCATCAGGAGCGTGATGGTCATGAAGGAAACATTTCTTACAAAACATGGATGGAAGTCCCTGGTGTCCCCAGCAGGCTGAGTAACTTGCACACAGATCCCGGTTCCCTCTCCTGACACCAAGCTGGTGGGACTGCCAACCGCCACCTGGGGAAGGCTATGCAAGAGCTCAGCAGACACCCGCGGCTGCCAGCTGTCCTGGGCTATGCCGGGGGTGACTGCTGCCACCGGTCCCCTCTCAGGAGCAGAGACTGGGCAGCCCTGCCGCTCCCCGTCCCCACCAACAGAAGCCCCGAAAGTCGTGGGTGTCCATTATCCCAACAATTAACAATGTTCAGTACAAATGAGGGTAATAAACACAAAAGCTTGCTTAGTAAACAGGCGCTCTCAGCGTTCAATGCAAAAACAGAGAAAGAAAACTGCAATCTTAAGGCAAACACTGTTGGCTCTGCCCAGGGCCGGCAAACCAGAGCTCTTCACGGAGCGTGGCATCCTGAGCCCAAGGTGGCGCTGGCCGCTCTGCGCTCTCTGAGGCCGCCGGGAAGCTCTGGCCTTTACACACGGCGCCCCAAGGCTGCTGCCTGCAAGGGCGTGGTCACGGGCTCGGGCTACTCCTTCCTGGCGGACACGGCCAGCTCCACATCGGGAAGCTGGATCCCCACCTTCGTCCCGCTGTCATTGCTAGAGGAGGAGGACAGTCGGGACTTGGAGGCCAGGGATGCACCGCTGCCCTGCAACTTGCCTGCGTCCTCATCACTCCCAGTCACCTCGTAGTGACCTCTGCTCTTTGAGCCCAACCCGCCAAAGGTGCCGAATTTCAGCTTGCCGTGTTTGCCTTTCGCTTTCCCTCCTTCCAGCGACAGCTCACCGCCCTCAAACTCTAGAGTCCCTGTCGGAGTGGAAGGAGCAGAAGGCTCTCTGTCCTCGCTGAAGGAGCCGGAGCGGGGGCGCGGCTTCTTGCTCTTAAACAGGGAGAACTTGCCTCTGGGGGACAGCACCTCGGGCTCTGCCTCTCCCTCCAGAGAGCCCAGGCTGGCCTTGGAGCTCTTCAGGTCCCCTCTGGACTCCGAGACAGACGCCTCTGGAGAGCCCGAGGAACTGCCCTTGCCCTTGGGCTTGGAGAAGGTGAACCGAGGCATCTTGATCTTGGACTTCTTCAGCTTCACCTCAGCCTCTCCCCATTCGCCCCCTGTGGCACCAGCCTGCGCGGAGGCTTCCACCGTGGGGAAGGCGACATCCACGCCCACTTCTCTGCCAACCAGCTCCCGGCCGGAGGTGAACTTGGGGATCTTCATCTTGGGGAATGTTACTCTCCCAGACCCACTCTGCATGGGGCCCTGGGGCCCGGACACACTCAGCCCGAGCTCGCCCCCGTTCATGCCTCCCTCTGACTTCGGTCCAGAGAAGTGGAGGCCTGAGCTGAGAGCTGAGGAGACCTGGGGCCCCTGCCATTCTGCCCCACAGCCTTTGGCACCGAGACAGCCCTCCCCCAGGCTGATGTCAGGGGCGCCGACACCCCCTGACATGTCCATGCCGCCTTTGACTTTCGGGCCCTTCAAGCTGACACCAACATCAGACTCGGGGGAGGCCACACAGAGGGAAGGCCCCTTGACGCTGACCTCAGGAGCAGCCCCGTGGAGACCCAGCCCGGAGGCCTTCAGGCCCCCTCTGATGTCAGGACTGGCAATCTGCCCTGCTGGGAGCATCACCGTCACACCAGGCAGATCCACGCCACCTCGGGCCGTCGGCAGTGCAGGGGCCTGCAGGTTTCCTTCCAGGCCTTGAATGCTGACTCCCTGAAGAGCCCCTTTCACCTCTCCAGGGGCCCCCAGGCTGCCTGTCACTTTTGGTCCCTGAATGTTAAAGTCCACGTCAGGTGCGGAGAGCTGTGGCCCTTTCAGACTCATGTCCACGCCCTTCCCCTTTAGCCCTCCAGCAACCTGTGGCCCCTTGATGCCGACATCCGTGTCGGACCCTGGTGTACAGATGCCAAACTGGGGGAGCTTCATTTGGGGAAGTTTCATTCCAATTTCTGGTGCTTCCACGCTCAGTTCAGGGGCACCTGTGCAGATCCTAGGACACTTGATGTCACCCGAGACAGCCAGGTCTCCCTGCAGGCTTGGTCCCTGCAGTGTCACATCTGGGGCTCCAACATCGGCACCTGGCACTTTCACGGCATCTCCTCCCATCTGCACCTTCCCGGCACCACCTCCGAGGGCAAGACCTGGGCTGTGCACCCTCACACTGGGAACAGAGGCACCCAGCTCTCCCTTCAGACTTGGTCCTTTCAAGTTCAGATCAAGGTCAGGCCCAGAGACTTCAGACAGGTTCATGGAAGGCAAGTCCACGCCCGGCCCCACCAGAGTGACCCCAGGCCCTTGGAGCCTGATGTTTGGAGCACTCGGGGCCCCCTTGAGAGAGGGCAGCTGGACCCCAGCCTCAGTGCCCCCCGCCTCCATGGTGACAGCAGGGACACCGATCCTGGGCACTGAAAACTTGGGGAACTTGATTTTCGCTTCTGGACCTTGCAGATCTACATCTGGTCCTTCGAGTCCCACACTGGGGACATCAGCCTGTATCTTTGGTCCTTTCAAATTAACATTCACATCGGGCATGGAGACCTGAGGGGTGGAAACGCTGAAAGAAGGTGCTTTGACTTTGGAATCTGGGCCTTCAATGGTGACTCCAGGTGCCTCCAAGTTGGCCTGCACCTTGGGGCCTTTCAAGTCCCCTTCTGTCTTCAGCCCTGAGACATCCACACCTGGCATTGTGAATTTGGGGGCCTTCACCTTAATATCTGGACCCTCCACATTGATCCCCGGTGAAGAGAGATTCAGATCGGGTGCCTGGACTGAACCTTCCATCTTGGGGCTGGGGAGGGAGGCCTCGGCTTTAAATTTGGGTGATTTAATGTCAAACTCTACATCTGGGAAGTACATTTTCCCAAACATAGTCTTCTTGGAGCGGGGAGATTTCACGTCAACTTTGAGTGCAGCATCCGGCCCAGCAATGCTGATGTCCACGTCTGGGGCCTTGAGACTGGCATCAATTTCGCCCCCAGGAGTATTCAGGTCAAAGCCCTGCTTCTTGGCCTTCACCTTAGGACCACTCATGTGAAGCTTAGGCATCTTAAACTTGCTTTTCTTGCTCTTGCCACCAGTACCAACCTCAGGAATCTCCACATTCAACTCTGCCTCGGGCATGGACACATCGAGCGAAGATGGCTTGATGTCAGCTGTAGGGCCTTTTGCTCCAAATCCAAACTTGGGTTTCTTAAACTTGGGATTTTTCACATCGTCCCACTCAGTGCTAATACCTGGGCCTTGCATGTCCACATCTAAGTTTGGCGCTTCTAAGTCAACCTTGGGCCCCCTGAGGTTCACTTCACCACCTTCTAACTTGGGATCAGAAACTCCAATTTGGGGCATCTTCAAGTGCAAATCAACATCAGGAACAGTTACTTTAGGAGCAGATATGTCCAGGGATGGCATCTTCAAATTAGGGCCTCTGAGTTTGGCATCAGGTCCTTCAAAATCCAGAGCTGGACCCTTAAGATCCACTTCAGGACCTTTGAAAGTCCCTTCAATCTTAGGGACAGAAACATTAAAATCTTTTACTTCAGGGCCTTTCAAATCCAGATCCACATCAGGCATGGAGATCCTGGGGGCCTTGATGTTCATCTCTGGCATCTTGAACTTGGGACCCTTCAGTTTC